GCTCCTATGTTTCATAGTTTTTGAGCAATAACCATTTTTGTATGTCCAGATACCCCTTTTCCAGATAAATTTGGGGTGGGGTGGGGGCACTGACTGGTGGGCCTGATGGGCCTTCGTCGGAGCTAAACAACCAAAAACATCTTAAGCTCCTATGTTGAACAGTTTCTGAGTTATAAGCATTTTTGCATGTCCAGACACCCCCTCTTTGGATGGAGCCCCCTCCTCAAATATGGGGTCTTTGTTAAACCGTTGGCTGTCGCAGTGTAGGTCAGACTCATCTACAGTCCTGCCAAATTTCATGTTGATCGGTGCAGCCGTTTTTGTRTTACGGTTGRCCAAGAATCACTGRRAAAAAAAAAACAGTATGAAAACAACATGACTCCCRCTTACACTTCGCGTGCGGGGGTCATAATAAAYCAGGTAATGGAAGKTGTAGGAAGCAGCAGCATCCAAAATGCRTCAGAAACTCACCCAAATAAGCAAATTCTGTGAGATTCCACATTTTATACTGGATTCCATTTTGTGTCAATTCCATAATTCCATCTGCATTTTCCGCATTGCAGAAATCATACGTCCCTACATATCTCAGTCCTACTTTTATTATTTTTACACACCTGGGAAATTTTTCCACATACCCCCTGTAATATGCTTGTGTACCCCAGGGGGTACATGTACCCCTGGTTTGGAACCTTTGGTTTAAAGTATCACAAATTGAAATTAGGCTATATAGAAGAAAGTTGATGTAAGTTGGAACTTGGGGCCGTTATTGGCCTACTTCAAAATTTCTTCAGACATGTTCTAATGTATGCATACTGTTGCATGTGGAATATTCATATTTAGATCAGGGACCATATAATATCTATATCAAAACTTTGATTATCCTGTAAAAAATGTTTTTATTTTCACCTAAATTGTRTGTCCAGTACCTGCTTCCTGGCAGTGAAAGCTCCCTTACTGGCCTTGCTGGTGCTGTTGGCGTGACCCCGGTGGACTGATCCTCCTGCTGCTCCATCATTCAGATGTGACGGCAGAGGACTCATGAATAAAATCTTTGCAATGAGTCCATACAGCACTGTGGCTACAATGAGAGGGGTCACGTAAAACAGAGTGAAGTCCAGGAAGTAAATTGGCATGTAAAGACTCCTGGAGACACGGTAGCCACACTTGACCACCACCCCGTTGSTGTAGACGGTTTCATTAGTATCTACCAAGAAGAACCACATCGTACAGTAGAGCGARGTGAAGATCCAGACTCCAGCTATGATCCTTTTGGCCCGRGAAACCGTGCAAATGAACTGGGCCTTTATGGAGTGACAAATAGCGATGTAGCGTTCAATGGTGAACGCCGTGATGGAGCATGAGGACACGTTGATGCCGAGGTACTGAAGGTACGTTATACACAGGCATCCCGTGTAGCCGTATATCCAGAAGGCAACAACATCAGAGATGTTGGGCAGGCCCGCAGCCAACAGAACGATGAGGTCAGCGACAGCCAGACTGACCAGGTAACAGTTAGTGGGCGTCACCATGTGACGGGTTCGCAGCACCACGAGCACCACCATGATGTTTCCAGCAATCCCAACGCCGCATATGAGCATTGTCAGAAAAATTGTGATAACTTGTTCTTCAAAAGAGTTCAGAGGCATCTCCGTCTGATTCACGGCACTGGCGACGTCCTGAAAAAATGTTGTGTTGTTCTCCATGTTTTATTTTCAAGCCCAGCAGGATCAACACAGTCCAGCTTTAAAAAAGAGAATCCTAAAAAAAAGAAAAAAAGGAGAAACAGAGATAAAAATCAGAATTGCGAGTATTTGAAACAATAATACTTRCTGACAAAACAGTAAAAACAAAAAAAGTTAATTAATTCATACCAAAAAGAAACCCCCAAAATACAATTTATGAATAATAACTGCACTTTCAGAAGTAAAAGTACAATTTATGTTTTGTGAATGAAAAACTGAGTGCCCCCCGTGTTTCCCCACTGACAGAACATATTTCATCATTAATAATATTTTCTGATGCAATACTGTTAGATTGTTTAAATCTGCGTGTTTTCCTGAACTGTTTTACTGTCTTTTCTTATTTTGTGTATTAATTAAACTCAGTTTAGTTGCTGCTTTTCCCAAATTAAAAAAAATGGCTGTGAATCATGTGATTTAAACTGACATTATGGGTAGACTACAGAAAACACACAAAGACACTGTCATAAGGAAACTGTTGTTATTGAATCAACGTTGTTTCATCATCCAGTTCTATGATTAAAATGCCAACATCTAATCAGTGTTGAATCATGTTTGAAAACCTAACATTGATTCAACAAGTAAGTCCCTGACCACTTTCTGTATAATTTTAACATGGATAMAATATCATGCCTAACCATATTTCAATGTTGATTCACTGATATTTTACTYTCTGGATTATCTTCATCTACCGGTGTACTTTGGGAAGCACAATCTGTACCGTCAGCTCAGTTTCCCAAAAGAAATACTATCAGGAGAGCTCAAAAAGAAAAAAAATTGTGTAGGTCTTCTGGACGGGTTCTTCTC